AGTTGGTACTGTGGGATCAAGCTCTGTGTTGGCTCTTTGCCTGCTTTGAAACAGACAACAGATGTTCTTTAAGAAAACACGAGAGACCGATTGAGCTGATAAGCACCGGCGCTCTCAGTAAGAAAGCTGAGAGACGTTATCAGAGGTCGGTTCATCAGGTGGTCTCATTCTTTAGTGGCAGAGGACAGAGGCATGATCCCATTATCTGATTTGTCTCATTTAAGGAATTAATTTCTAACAAATCAAAGAAAAGAAGGACAAAGGGAAACATCTGTGACAGCTGTGAGCTGTGCTGAGAGGACAGGTCCAGAAATATGATGAAACAAACGTCCTGCAAAACTCTAACAAGTCATTTAATGTGTTCAATGGTTTAGTTACACAATGTAAATCCTGAAAAACTGACTTTATTTGACGAATGTGTGTCATCACCTCATGTAAAGACGGCAGTGCTTAAACTGAGCAGTTCATTAAAGAGTTAAATTGGTGATAATTTTAAGTTAAAATGGAATAAATCAGCACAAAGTGTAACTATGAAAAGCTGATCTCGTGCCTCGAACGCCGCAGACTGAGAGAATTTAATGAACATTTGAACGCCGGCCGATGATGGCGGCGAGCTCCTCCACACAAACGCTACAAACCACATGACTGATCCACATTAATGCTAAACAAAGCATACCTGTGATCACAGCACTACTAAATCAACTATTTCAGGTGCTGGATTTTCTCTGGTCTCTGTGTTAAAAATATTAAAATTATCCACATAATGCAATAAAATAAATTCAAGCAGTACAAATTAAATTAATTTCAGTAGTTTCACTTAAACACGTTGCTGCATTTATACCATTTTCCCCCATTTACATATTTCACATGACTTATTTATGATATTTATAAAATATTGAGTATGTGGGAACCAAAACTACTAAATATAAATGGATTAAATAAATATTCCAGATGCTCATTTAAATCTAAATTGAGAGCAGTGGGTGAAAGCTCTTTGTCAGACCAGTGGAGACAGCGGGAATTCAACTGGGAGGAAGACGTTTGGAAAACAGCAAGTGGACGCGAGCACAGGCTGATCAGCACAGGCTGAGATATCTGCTGCTGCTCGACAGTAAACGGGCTTCTTTAGTACATATATGTCGTCTTTTAAGTTTATTTTTAATAGATTCTTGTTTTTTTAATGTGTAGTTGAAGTGGAGCGAGGCAGGACATGTGGGGAAAGAGAAAAAGGAGAATAATGTGCATTTCAAGTCCAATCAGAAATAAGTATTTTCACCTACTTGGTTGTCAAACTGGAAAAAATGTAAGTCATTTAAAGGCCACAGTACCCCATCAGCTGAGCCCTGGCACCATTATTTACTAGTGCTGCATCTTGTTTATTATGAAAAGCTTCCTAACAGACAGGAAGGCATGAGGGAGGTCGTGGCGAGGCCTCATCTGGTCGCTTCGTTGTAGAAACGCGCAGACATGATGGAAGATGGTGATTCTGATCCCGTCACAGCGTCCTGACGTCAAACTGGGGTGAAGCACAAAGTTGCCGATTGATCGTTCTGATGATTTAATTATCTTAAATCATCAGCACGATCAATCGGCTACTTTGTTACAAAAAACAACAAAAACAATCCAACAAGTATGATATGTTTCACTTAAACAGCTGCTAAAGTCGTCTTAAACCTTTGATGGGGACAGTATACTATATATATTTTGCATGGTTGGATCGTAACAAGGTTTCTAGTAGAGCTTCAACAGGCAACAAGAAGAAATGGGAGAAAAACTAAGCACTTTTTTAAGTGTTTATTAAAAACAACACTTAAACTGAATGGATAGTCTGAAACGTTTGACTGTATAATGACATGTCAGTAATATTTGACCATTCTAT